TGCACAGTACAATATATAAGAAACAAAGTGCATGTGGTAATCATTTCAGAGACAATCACTATCTTCAAAAAACACTCACTTTTTCCCCTCAAATGGGGTTATTTGGAAAAATACTGAACCTGAAAACAAACAAAATATTTTTAATAAGAATAGATTTTAAAAATATGCACACTACGCTGAATATGATCCATGGGAACGCAAATGTTCCCCTACTTTGCTGCTGATGGTGGAGAAGGACAAGTACTGGTTACAATGTAGAGCTGCATCTTCATTCTAAAACGCGGCATCAGTAAGCAAAATAAATATCTGTCCTGCATATCTTGTAGATCTATTCGCACTATTTGAGGTATTAGGGTTAATTTCGTGAGGGACCAAACGGATATCTGCGTGTCGAAAACATACCTATTCCCAGAAAGATGTGCTAATTGAACTCCACTGGCGCGTGAAATTGTTAGGGACGAGGTTTTGATGGAGATTCTAAACGTTTTCCGCAGAAGCTTTGATCATCTTGATGAGATTTCTGGCCGTTTTCAAATTTATTCGGTCATCTTTCTTCGAATGTGTGTGGAATGAAACTCATTTGGTTTTGACAGACGACCATTTTCTTCTTGATTAGCAAACGGGCTTTTGGGCTAGGTTAGCTGTGTTTGATGGGAAGGTCCTGGTTTGGAATGAAAAGGAATTGCGTGATCAGATTACATCATGACTGCTTTCATAAATTAACTAACGTTTTACTTATCTCAGGCCATCAGAAAACATTGCCAAATGTTACAAGCTCGTGTCAAAAGTAATATTTAGCTGATGGTCTCAAGAAATAAGGTTTCTGTGATGAAAACGATTTTGCTTCAAACGGGTTTTAAATTGATTTTTCCAACATGACATATTGAGTTGACTTTCTTTTTGATGCAGGAAAGCAACTTCAAAGTAACGCAAAGAATATCTGCGTGCAGTCATGTGTTGCTCATTGGCTGTAAAAATGGATGAGGATTTGATTTTTAGAAAGTTTACAAATGAGAGCTCATCAGGGCAAATGTTTCATGATGAACTGAATATTTGATAAAATTCTGCAGATGTTCGTCCGTACCCTAAAATTTAATTTCCCTTTTCTGCTCGGAGAGTGTTAGGAATTGCATATTACGCTGATTATTACAAAGTAGGCCGTTTTCCGCATAAATTAGCGTCATGTGCAGACATTTGGTTGACCTCGTTTGGGGCTAAAATTGCAGAGATATTGTGAAACCAATTTAACGTGTCACACGCATTCAATAAGGCGGCTTTCAAAAAGTCCTGTGGAAATATGCGCGTCAATTCATGCAAAAAGTCAGTGATACGTTATTTTTATCTACTAGGCATATTCAAATGATCGATTGCAGTACTGGATGAATAAAAAATTAAAATTTCAAATGTCAACAGATAATTTTGCTAAGATCTCAGGACGTTTTCGGGATAGTGAATAGGAGGCATTTCCCCGTGTGCGCTGTGTATGGTTAAATCATGTGTGCAATTTACAATGTTTAAATTTTATGCACTCCCATCTCTTTTAAATTTTCATAAAAATAAGCAATATTTCACTTGGCTGTGACGCTTTGAATAAAAATTTAGAGCAATATTTTACAACCCTTTTTGAGCAAGAATTTCGCCATTTTCGGCATACCTTTTCGACACATTTTTCGTCCTCAAATTTGTTTCGATGGTATTGTATCGACTGAAACCAGGTCTTGTGATTTCAAGTTCTCAAAAACAGGGATGCAAACTTATTGTTATTAAAGATCTTCGAGGTTCAGCATCAGGTTTCATGAGAAGGTTCATACTTTGTGGAGGAGAGAGCTGATTATGATCGCAATTAATCCAATACACCTCGACGGTCCTTCATTGCTCCAAAACATCGCTACCACTTCAAAAATTAGAACAAATGTGACCTTGCTCAAAGTCGGAACCACTTTAAAATGTAGAAAGAGATTTATTTTCGCCTCTCTTCGGTTCACCCATCAATAAACCTGCTGACGTAAGTAAATATTTTGCGTTCCTCCCACGGAACGGCGTCGTTGCTGGAATAAGGAATGGCGAAATGCTAACGCCACCATTGCCATTCATCATGTCATGAAATGTGCATGAAATCCTCGCAAAAAATGAAAGGTCACGGATTGCGACGGAATCGAAGAGATTAAATCTGTAATCAATCATTATATACATGAATATTACCGCACCCACGCTCGCCTTTGCCAATGCAAGCACATTTTTTCTCCATTTATATGCAAGAAGGGCTTGCAAATTATATGTGCAGATCGAAAGTTTCATTTTTTTAAAAGAAAACGTAATGTTTCTGAACAGCGAAAAAATAAAATATTTTGATGATTTTTTTATCAAAAAGAGCGAGACGAACTGTAAAAATGACCATAAAAGAATCGAATTCAATTTAATTCAATGTAGTTTTTTCTCGGTCCATAATGGTTTTTTTTATGAAGTGAATATCTTACGAAATTACGTTCTGTGACTAAGTAGAGATGGATGCGAAGGAATTCTGTCTGACTTTTGACAGAAAAAAACTATAAACTTTTGAAAAATCTGCTGAAGCTGAGCATAATTTATGAGAAGACAGTTGATAATTTGCCGGGAAGACAACAATGTGTGCATAATTTCCCAATGTACTTGTAAATATTTTATGACGTGATGTAGTGTGACGTTTCATTTCAATGGGAAGGATTGCTGTCAGATATTTGACAGAACACAAGTGTAAATTCCTGGGAAATCCGAAGTTGAGCATCATTTTCAAGAAAATGGGTGCCTTTTTTCTCAGGAAAGAAGGGAATTTATCTACAATTTCCTCATACATATTTTTCTTGACGTGATGATATGAGGCTAGTGATGATATTTTGATGAGAATTATTTTCGTCTCATATTCGACAGAACAAAATGTAACAAGTCGGAAAACTTAAGAATTGAGAATGTTTTTCGTAACAAAAAGCTACCCTTTCGCGGGAAAGAAGGAAATTAATATTTGCAGTGAATAAATGTGTGGTACGCGAAAAGAGGAGGAAAAGCAGTCCTTGTTTATTCTCAGCATTGACATAACATTGGTCACTGCACAAGCAAACATTAAAACATACTACCTCGCTTCCTGCTTCCCCAGGGGGAAGTTTGTTCCTGTGTCCCCCCGACCTTGGCTATATTGGCTGCTTTTCTTTACCTTGGACCCCAATTTGTTCCAATGGAAGAAGTTCCATCCTTCGAATGGGAAACTTCCGGAGTTCACCGATAGTGCTGACAAACTAGTGCGCAAGAGTCCTGGTACTTGCTGTTCCTGAAGGTTCAAAGGAGCTATACAGCGATGAAGTTTTCTGATTCTTCTTGATCACGAAAAAAAAGCGAAAATTTCAAGCAACATTTCCAAGAAATACTCACGGACATGTGATCAATTTTCTGCATCCATTCTGCACGGGCTTATCAACACCAGCAATTTTCTGCTGGCATAAAAACAAATATTGGACTTTTTACTAATTTAGGCCTGGGTTCGAAGTTTGGAATTTTTAATTTCAGAGTGTTGACACAAAAGGTTGCAAAAATATCCCAACTCTGCTGTCATAATAAAGGGGTTAAAAAGCAATGCCATATTTGTTTTTATTGTAATTCATGTGGACTTGACATTTTTTTTGAATAAATGCTTTTCAATAATTGGACATCAGTAAAAACCTATCACAGCAGGCAAAAATTTAAAAATGGTGGAGCCAATATTCCAGTTCCAAATGAATTTCAAAACTGCAATATGAGGGACTTTCATTTTATTTCTTCTTAATTCTGTAAAAAAAAAGTCTGAGAAATGAGAAACGTCGAATTAATTAAATTGATTTTCTTTTTTAAATCCCTGTACTCCGAATACGTTCCTTTTAAATGCATCCATCCGGTAAATTCAACGATTCAGCAGCGAATTTTCGAAAGTTCTGATTTATGATAATTTGAAAATATGTTGAAAAGTGTGGATCTTGAAATACTTGAGCAATTTTTTGAACGGAAATTTAAAAACCAAAATTGACAAACTACTTAAACTAATCAACGCAATACATACACAAGGGGACATCATTCGGGAAAAGATAGATTCAATTCCCTTATATTTTCAGCTTTTTTTTTTACAAAAACTTTCAATAACCATATATAGTTGAAAAACTTGAGGTGGGGATCTAACGTTGGCCATTTATTTGGTTCATTATGAAGAATCTGTGCTTGTGTTATTATTGCTTGAACGGTATTTATGATTCAATTTATCAATTTAATTTATTTAGGTCGACAGAAATACGCATTTGTGATTTAAGGCAAAAATTTGAGAAGATTGAAGGAAAGACAGACATTTTTCAGACTTTTTGCTATCAATTGAATGGGATGAGGGATGACAAACTGAACCTTATTTCCGAATTGCTTCTTTTAAAATTTTTAAACAATCCTACGCCTTCAGATCCTCGTACTTTTTTTCTAATTTGCTTCAAAATCGCCCAAGAAACACAATTTCCACTGGCATAGAAGTTAAATAATTAATTTTCAAATTTTCTCAAGCTACCCATCGTTTCCATCTTTCGATATGCAAATTGAGGCATAGTTTCATTATACCTGCCTAACGATTTTCAGAGCGAGTATGTTTTAGCGCATCCATGGCCTTGAATTACAGCTGCACCGCTTCTTGCGATATAAAATATTTAACGAATTTCGTCTGTCTTTATCCTGGTGAAAAATTCACTGTCGTGGTCGCTCATGAAAATGCAATTCCACCCAATGCCTCGTTTATTTTTCATCCCTCAAGTCATTCCGAATATCGGCCAATTCGAGATTTGCATCATGGTGTGTCATACCTATTGCATTTCCATTCAAGGAGAATCCCGGCTTGGGTCCCGCAGTAGCAGGCCGGTTACTCTCGATGAGAAAAATGGCAAAATGCCGTGTCGGTGACCAGGGAATTTCATTCGTTTTGGCATAACTGACGACTGATCGATTTATTCCGGCGAGTTGTCGCCATGGCGATTTTCCGTATCGGCTCCTCGACTGCTGTTCGCTCTGATCCGACTTTATCCTCGTCAGCCGACCACAAGAACACCAATTCCACAACTGCGACCATCTTCACCATTGGCGAAGACTTCATCTCGAAATGGTACGAAAAAATTCTGGAGGATACTCATCTTCAAGTTCAAATTATTCAAATACAGGCTGGGCCGAAAAAAGGGAACCAATCATTGATTCGAAAAAGCGTGGTAGCAAATTGTGGTGTGGCACTGAGAATAATATGATTATCACATGAAAGCATGTTTTATTGGCTTTGAAATGGTTTGCAGATTTATAGTCTGAAGTGCCAAATAATTTTCACGAGAAGCTTTTGAATGAAAACTTTCAAAAAGGGTTTTCAGGCAATTCCTTTTACTAAGCTGCTGTTCCTCAGAACTGTTTTCAGGGATAAATGGGATGCAGGACGAAACATTTCACCGGCAAACTTTGTCCCGCCTTCAAGAGGGTGGACACATTCCCAAAATTTTGGAAGATGGGTGATAAGTGCAAAAAAATAGAAGGAGATGTTGTTCCACTCTCAAATCTCAATGCATGATGCTTGATGGGTGCCAACAACATGGCTCCCGTGACCCCTGCATGCCAAATTTTTTGGAATGACTGGATGGCACCAAATTGATTTTACTCAATAGCCCTTCTGAGTAAAAGTCAGCTTTGCTTTTTTCAAATTTTGGGTCCATTGCAGAATGATATGATGTTTCAAAAAAAACGCAACAGTCTGTGCACGGCAAAGTTGGAAAATATCCTGATGTATCTGCTGAATTTTTTTTTTTCAAGAAGAGAATCATCAGGGATCAGTTTTTGCCCCGTGTTTTGTAGTGTTGCATAATTCAAAGAATAACTTTAAGCTTGAACGCCAGGTTTCAAGTTTTTAGGTTACTTCACACACAGCCTGACTTCCACATTTCAAAGAATGAATTATCCCTGGAAAAAATCCAAATGTTGCCCTTCCCCACTCTACAGGGGTCTCATAACCTTTTGAAAAAAATTAATGTGTAACAAATCAAGAGAAGTCTGATCTTGTTTCGGAATGGAATGGATCCTTTTTCTGCAGAAGAGTTAATCATAATGGTTAAGTGGATGAATACTCAACATTGCACATTTTCATCTATGATAGCACTGAATTTTTCGTTCTTGTTTTGATGACTTTTGGGTTTTTATGACTTCTAGCTGTTTGTGATGATCAGTAAATGGAAATGACTCATTGAAAACTCATCAATGATGACAAAAGTGATGACTGGCAATTTTGATTTCCCTTTGTTTGGAAAAGTCTGGATATTTTTTGAAAATTCCGTGCCGCTTAGTAAAGAAAATTAAGAATATCCTACTTTTCTACCAGGGTCTAAGTCAGGAAGGAGTCCAATCTTTTTTCTGATCCTGCAGAAAATGTTGACAGAAAATGAAATAATCCCTCATGATCAAGGTAGCATTTTTCCTGCATTCCTGGCATTTGATTACCATGGAGATTCCTGAAAAAAAAATCTTCCCAGATTTTTCCAACTTAGGCCTTTGGCAACTTCCCAACCTTTCAGTGACATTTCAGCAGCCTTTTTGGTCAAACTGAAATGCACCACCCCCAAAAAAATCCTTACTCCATTGCGCAATGGAAAGGAACCCTCTGCCATCAGTTAGAGAACTGATGCTGAGCAGTCCAGTCATCCCTGACGACTTTGCATGCAGGGGGAAAAAGGAGCCCTGGTTGTGGAAATCCAGCAAGCTTGAATTCTGATTTTGCAGTGGAGCATCACCCCACTGATCAAGTTTTGATTTTTTGCACCTCTAAAACTCCACCTCCTGAATTTGGGAAATGTTTACACCATCTTGAAGGCAGCATGAAGTTTGCTGATTGAATCACCT